GTGTAGGGCTAATCAACACCCCAAAATCATGAATGAATGAATGCCTTGTAGTAAACCGGATTTGGAAAAGCGTGCAGAAACTAGCTGAATTCTGTGTGTGTTGGGAATGGACGGAAAACGTTGTTCTGGAATGATGTTTGGTTACATAAAGTTTCCCCCTTGAAGATTATGTACAAAGATCTCTTTGACATTTGCTCCAACCCAAACGGAAGGGTGGCTGAATATGTTGAGGATGAAGATTATGTACAAGATCCCTCTCTAGTTGTACCCTCTAGGCAGTGGCAGGACCTGTTCAGTGAACTGAATAGCTATAACATCTCTGAAAGTCAACCTGACAGAGTAACTTTAGGCTTTGGAAAAGAATGGCATCTTTTCCACTAAATCCCTAATATTGATTCTTGACTAGTAGAGGTGTTTCGAATAGAATGGCAAACACCGTGTGGAGGTGCAAGCTACCTTTAAAGATCAAATTCTTTCTTTGGCAGATGATGAACAACAAACTCCAAGCAGCATAGGTTTTGAAAAGAAGAGGCTGCAAAGGAGATTGCATCATATGTGGAGTTCCTGAAACCATAAACCACATTTATTTCCAATGCCACATCTCACTTTGCATGGTGCATCTTTGGAGAGACATTGGGATGGTCCAGTGTCCCTCGATCTAGAAATGACCTGTTTGAGAACAGGATTCCAAACAGGCAACCTTTTTTGCATATTCATATTTGCAGGCCTATCTTGAGCTATTTGGGAAAACAGAAATAAGATGGCGATTGACAAGAAGTTCCCTAGTAATCCAACTGATGTTATGTATATTGCAATGTCAATTCTGCAGAAGTGGCGTCCTCTGCTTAAGGAATAAGAAGGATCAAGTAAGGCTCTCTGACAGTCTACGATATCTAAAAGCTAGTATGTTATAGGATAGCCGGTTCTGCTCTTTTCCTTTACTGACCAAAAGACGTTTCTTTCCTTTTTGGTTTGTTTTGGCGCTGGTATCCCCAGCTGAACTCTGTAAACCCATATTACTTAAGCAGAGTGATTCTCTGTTCAAAACACACACACACAGGTGTAAAGTTGATCGCTTTTATTTATATATCTACACTAGGTAAATGCACGTGCGTTGCAACGATAACACATAATACCACGATAACATATGTATGAGCGTGTGTTATACTGTTATCTAAAATAGATACCACAATCATAATGTTCCAATCAATATTACATAAGTCTTCACGAAAGATAGATAGCTAAAATATAACTCTAAATTTGAATGCAAAACTAAAACATCAACTTTAATTGTTGCATCACTTCATGCCTACGATACGCAAAAGATAAGCTTGCACTTCTTTAGGAATTAAGTGCTACGGAAAGATAATCATAACAAGTTTGTGTTTCACAATACATGTTTTAGAATCTATTCTACAATTAAGAATCTAATCTCTCAATAATTTGACTAAGAGAACGTGCTTTGCACGAATACCAAGCTGCAGTTGGTCACCAATCAATGATGATCTAGAAGATTTTCTAGTCCAAGATGTGGCGTCTGACTTCTTGCAGCTGAAGCATATGTTCTTGTTCAAACAAATGAGCTTACTCTGAACTATCTAAAATGCACTAAATCTAAAGCATTGCCATATTGCAGAGATAGAAAAAAAAAAGAAAAGGAGCACATTTAGCTTCTAGTTGAGTAGTTAACCATGGTGTAATGAAAAATATAATTATAGGTCCCGTTCGCTTCGCTAAAAAAACAAGCCGAAACACTGTTCTGGCTGATTTGTTGTGAGAGAAAAACACTGTTCCGGCTGAAAAAACAAGCTGAAAAAGATGAATTATAAGAGAAGCGAACATGGCCATAAACATTATGGTCTCGATAACCGATCATGCAAAGGGAGACTATTCTAGTTTCATAAACATCCTCAGAAAATTGTCAACAACTAACAGGATGTTTATTAGAATGTCCACATAAAAAACAAAATACCGACAGGTCCATGAACCATGGTTCAGCGGTGTGGTGTGTGAGCGGTCCACCATGGACCGAGTCCATGCTGAAGGGTATGTGTCGGATACCGCAAGAAGGGGTACCCTAAGCAAGAACCAAAAATATTGCTTAAACCTTGCAAAAATCAAAGTCAAAAGACTACCGCAAGATCTCAGCAGATTCTCCGATTCGCCCGAGGCCTTGCGCCGAGGCCTCATGCGAAAGGCCAAAAGCTCCCCGCCCCGTCGAGGCCCTCTCGCCGAGGCCCTCTCGCCGAGACCCTCTCGCCGAGGCCCCGCCCCGAAAGGCCTCGGACGGGATGCCAATTCTCCGATTCGCTCGAGGCTGGGCTCGGCAAACAACCTCGTTACCTCCGTCCCGACCGAACTCCTCTGACAAAACGTCACGTCCGGATTAATGCGCCCAACTACTCCCGCAAACGTCAGCCGCACGCAGGTACAGTGCGGGCAGAGCGACCGACGGGACAGGGGACCGGGCGCAGCAGGGGTTACCTGCCACTGTGCTCATCACTGTGCTCCCTACTGACACCCGTACTGCCTTGTGCTACCTAACCCCTGCGCCAAGGACAAAGCGGCGTGGAAGGTCAAGTCTAGGTCCCTGTAGTCTCAGCAACAGCAGGAGAGCTCAGCTGCTCGTTCTCCGCCTCGTCCGAGACCCCCCGGCAGGGCCTCGGACGTACTGTTCCTTCTCCACCTCGGCCGAGGTCGGGCTCGTCCCGCATCCTCGTCGTCTCCGCCTCAACTGCCCCTCTGGCGGGCCGTCCCATCCGTGTAAGTACCCCTGGTTACACCTACGTCAGCCACGATTGGCATGGTATAGCGACAGGGGCGATGGGACGGCGGTCAAGTCTCCTTTTTTACCATTCCCTACTGACGGTGCAGGGACTACCGTGCCCTACGGACCCCCGCTCCGCACTCTTTCACCCAAACCGAGTACAACGCGGACCACCGAGACCCCCGCGTCGTACACAGGTCACCTCCGAGGCCTCGGCAAAGCAGGCCTCGGCACGATCAGCTACAGCACCCGCTAGGCCTCGGCACTCCACCAGGTCAAGAGTCCACCAAAGCACGGCATGTCTTCGGCCGTGGAAGTCATACTGACTAGACATCGACAAGGACCCCCACGACCTCAACCACTTCAAACCTGACTAGCACGGCGCGCCAGACAAGTACCGATCTCCATTCCCAACGACATGCTGCTACAGGACTAAACTGCAGTAGGCTCCACGTGTAGCTCACTCATGTACTCCTGGCTCCTTCCTTACGGTTATAAAAGGAAGCGGCCAGGGATAACTCAGGAGGGGAGAAGAACATACGATAGAACCGCGCTCCCATATTCGCCCTAGACACATCCTGTAACACCCACGCTCCCGAGCTGCTTGAGAGCCGCGTCTCAAGCACCTCGCACCGCTCCACGCCGAGACCTGGGACTAGCTCCCTCTCTCACCCAGCTTGTAACCCCCTACTACAAGCACTTCGGTGCAAGAAATACAATACCGATCTCTCAGACTGGACGTAGGGCACCAATTGCCTGAACCAGTATAAACATTGTGTCTCTTTGCATCACCATCCGGGATTAGGGGCACACAGTTCATTTTTACTGGTTGGTTGAGGACCCCCCGGTCCGAAACACCGACAGTATGGGTCCTTGTATTTCCAATGTATTTCCTCTTTTATTCTTCTGAAGGAAAACAGCAAGAAAGTGTGGACATGTCATCCTGATGTCATTAAGCTAACAAGCTAAGAACGCTCATGCAAAGCAGAGCACGGAATAGAGCACGACCAGTGCTCGGCGGCCATTTCCCAGCAACGCGAGCTTGCGGTTGCGCAGTGTGCCTTGCGCGCGCGTGCGTGGAGAAGGAGCGCAGGGGTGCGGGGAAGCTCACCTGCGACTTACCAAGGGCGGAGGAGCAAGGCCGGGACTGGCTGTTCCCCGGAGCGAGCTCACGCCTGGCAATGGCGGTGCGGCGCAGGAGTTCGCGGGCGTGATGCTTGTGCTGCCCAGCTGGTAGTGGTGGGCTGGTGGTTCACGCTAAGGAGCTCGGCCACTCGCCATGATCACCTGCAGGTGGCGAGATCAGCGATCTGTTGCAACGGACATCGGAGCGGCATCCTGATTTCGCGTGCCTGGCGTGTGTCAGCGGCGGTGGAGACCTAAGCCCGCGGCGGCGGAAAGCAGCAGCGTCAGTGGGGAGGGTGCGGCGCCACGGAGACTTGAGCGGGGCGATTCGGCGACGGCTCCGCTGGTTTGTCGTCGTCCGTGTGCTTCTGCTAGGATTAGTCGTGGTCGTCTTCGCCCATGTGTTGCTGTTAGGATTTGGGTGTTCCGTTTCGCATAGCTGGAAGGGAAGACAGATGGGGATATAGGGTCCTGGTGACGTACCTGGTGGGTGTTCGTCGCTAGCTCGGCGTCGTGACAGGGTACACCAGCGTCAGCGAGCAGGGAGGCGAGGCGACGGGTGCTCCAGCGGCGTCGAGGCGACAGGGACAAGACGGGGCCAATACGGGGCAGGACGTGGACAGGGCACGATTGAACGATGGCGTTGATCGGCGGACAGCGTGTGCGATGGCGAAGGTGGCGCGAGGGCCAGGCACGAGGAGGTGAGGACGCGGTGCCCTGCAACTGCAGAGTGCCAGGGAGGTCGTGGTGCAGGTGACGGCGCGGTCTCGCGTGATTGGTGGCGTGGGGCGATCGCGAAATTGATCACGATTGTTCCGGGAATTGATTTTTGCCTTCCTGATTTGTTGCGGCTGTTATGAGAATTGAGCTGATCGCATGGAGCGAGTGCGCGTTGCCTTCCTGATCTGATCGTATGGAGCGACTTTGGTGTCGCACCTGTGGACAGAATAGTTATGAATGTTTTAGTTGTATAGATATAGATATAGAGATACAGCTACAGTTCGTACACGAGATATACATCAACAAACATATGCAGATGCATACACTATACACACAGGTGCAAGATCCTCTCAAAGAATCAAATCAAAGGGCGTCCAAAAAGCTTCACTCAAGCGGCTTCCTGCTGCTGGTCTTCACTCCCACCACCGCTGCTGGCATTAGCAATCATGGCACCACCATCGCTCGGCAACTCTCCGCCAGGTGCGTCGGGGTTCACGTGCTCTGTTGTCGCCATGGCAGGCTCAGATGGTCTCGGAACATCAGTACTCAGGCGCCCATCGCCCGGCTCCTGCCTTGGAGCCGACCTGGCCTGCCGAATGGCCGCCGCAGCCTCTGGCATGATGACATCCGGTGGCTGCGGGGGAACCCAGCGGCGCTGGAATTCTGCCACAACCGCTGCGGGGTCATCCATGGCATTACCAGCATGGTGATTAGAAGAACCCCCTTGGTAGCTGCCCCGTGTGCCAGCGCTCAATCGCTCGTTGCTTGTCTGCGGCTGGAATCCGTACCCACCGGGCCTCTGCACACGCTGCTGGAATCACAAAATGTCACAAGATTCAGTGTAATTTGCCACCAAATTAGCTTATTTATTCAACACGGCTTAGAGACTACAAGCAAGTTATAGCTTATGGTGGACAAGGTGATGTATGATGCTTAACACAAATGTGATAATCAAAATTAACTACTATAGCATGACCCACATGAAAGTTTCAAAAAAAAAAAAAAATAGCATGACCCACATGATTGCCTACCTCAGAGTAGGATCCTGGAAATGGTCCATAAGAAGGTTCAGCAGCTAATGGCATGAATGAGTTCCTCCCTGTTCAAAATAAACCATGAGTCTATGAGTGAAGCAACAACTGTGACAGGCAAGAACATTTGGTCGGGACCTAAAAGAAATATCTTTGGCAGGATGACAGTGAGTTTGGTGACTCAAGCTCAGTACAGCCCCTTACCTGGGTCAAAACTGTTGTTTGGTGGCGTTGCATACATATTAGTTTGCTACAAATAGAAACACTGTGTGAGAGAGAAGAAAATAATATAAGGACTAGAAACTGCAAGTCATACCTGAAAAGTTCTCCCTTGATAGTCAATTGGCCCTACACAGAGAAATAATAGCAATGTGATGAGAGCCGTTCTAATGCAAATAGTTGTTACTTAATACCACAATGCTAAACCTAGAGTTTTAAATATTTTATATGTAGATGGTTCAAAACTACCAGCAACTGAGATGAGAATAACCACCAGATCAAAAGTTCACATCATATCGTGCCCTAAATTTCTAATATAAGGAAACTATCTCTGCAGTTCAGTATGATAAGTCAATTATTAAGTTTGATGCTGACCATTCCATGGCGCAGGCTGAACATGCTCTTCCAATTGGTTGCGCCGTGAAAACTGATTATCCCTGATATGATTTAAGGTCTCATTCAATGATTTAAACACATTTGCTTGTGACTCAAATGCTTCTGTTAACTTCATAAGCACCTTCCTATCTGTAAAAAGGAGAGTTAAATCATTAAGGTAACACAACAACAACAACAACAACAACAACAACAACAAAGCCTTTAAGACGATACAAAAAAATAATGGCTTCTGTACTGTCAAATATGATAAATTATCAAAAACAAATTCTGAAACCTTCATCTTTTGAAGCAAGCACTTCTTGGTTTGTTCTAGCAGTATCAGAAAAGGCTGACGTAGAAACTTTTATGGCTTCCCTAATTTCTTCACAAAGTTTGGAAGCAAGTTCATCGTTTGCATTTTCATCTCCTTCAGCAACAACTCTACGGGTCCAAGATTTTAGACTAGGGATGAACAATTTCTGAGAAAAATATTCATGGAAATAAGTTCAGCATCGGACATAATTTTCAAACAAAAGTTTAGACCTTCACAGAATCAACAGATGTACCTTGAGGGTTATAGCAGCACTAGCCCCTAATCCAAGAAAAAGACCTGCACCAAGGAGTGTGTGGACCCAGCTAAACTGCACATTTGTATGTGGGGCAATAGGTCCAACAGTGGCAGAGGTAGTAGCTGTTTGTGGTTGAACTTCTGTATAAGGCTGCAGCGCAACAGATTGACTGGGATTGTTTGCTGAAGGAATAAAAGAAAACAAGACAGTTACTAAGAACAGAATACATCTTCAGTCTATGGTAAAACTCGCAGCACAAACTTTGGAGTGCTTTGTATGAACTATCATCATCATCAACAACAACAACAACAACATAAAAGCCTTTTAGTTCCAACTACCAAGTAAGCTGGTTAGGGTAGAGTTGAAACCAACATGAGCCACCAAGAAAAGGGGAAAAGAAAGAAAGAAATATATACATAAGGCATCACTAATAGTGATATTATTTGGGGATCTACTAAAGACTGTTGGTGGTTTAGTTATGTGAATAGCTGATTTCCATGCACTCCTATCCAAGGACAATTTACATCCTTGAAAAGGAAAAGGAAAATCATAGCTTGATCAACCTATAGATACATCAAGTATTTGAAATAAGTTAGTCTCTCATTGGAGAAAGAAAAATAAGTTGATCATTAGTGCTATACATGACATAAGAGCAACTGCAACCGAGGAAATGAAGAACACGGTTGCAGTTGCTCTTATGTCTTGTATAGCACTTGTCAAACTGTGAAAGTATCTTCATCGAGCAGAAACAGTTACTAGAATTTTCACTATTGTTATTTGTCTGTCAGTTACGCTGCCAAAGCTTAGAAAATAGGAACTAAATCTTCCTTGTTCAGGTGAAAAAATAAATGTGCAAAGCAAGCTTCGATAGGATTTCTTATAATTTGCTCGGCTATTTTGCAATCAATTTAACAACAATAGTATACTGATAACTGGGGCTGACCATAATCAGAAGATCCTAATAATAAAAATCAGAAAGAAATAAGATAAAGATAATGTCTAAAAAATTAGATGGTATCACAGTAATCCACACCATATCTTGAACGACAGGCTACCTTGTTGTGTACTAGCAGCCGCAGCATCAGTTCCATTTGTCTTAGGGTCCTATAAGGCATTAAGCTAGTTCAGAAACACTTTTGCCATCTAGGGTAAACAGTAGGGGTACCAGGGAAATAAAATCTTACAGGAACCCTACGAAAGGCCTCATCAATTTCTTCACTTGTAAGGCCTTTCTTTTCCAGGAAGGAACGCCTGTGAAATACTGGAGAACCCTTCACTCTCGGATGTGAAAGAAACTTCACAGCATTCTGTATGTAATCCTCCCTCATCAGCTGTGGAGCTTGAATTACAAGATTATCGAAGGATTCATTCCCACCAGAACCACCTGCAGAGTCAGAAAATTAGAATGTGCCATTTTGTTTTGAGATCAGGGCAAGCATAAGCACACTAAGTTGCTAATAAGAGAATGAGACAAACCCTCAGAACTGCCATTTTGTCCACAGCATTTCATTTGCAGAAAGCTGCTTACAAATTTCAAACATGAATTAAGTTTTGTCCCACCTACCACTTAAATAAATCTATTCAATTTTGTTTAGAACCAAGAAACGCAATAGTGCAAGTTTGGTTTGACGCCTTTGCAATCTAATTTCCAGCCTTGCCAAGTGTCAATAACCTGCAGTGCGTCCACAAAAGGGCGCGCCTTGCATCAATCGCCTGGTGCAAGATGCTAGAGCATCCATTTTGTAGCTTACTCTTGAAACTTATGAGCCAAATAAGCAGCATCAATCATTCATTAACCAAGTAAAGAGCCCTTTTAACTAGCAAAGAACTCCCTCAGGACCAATAAGCACGAAGATATATCCTCGAATAGCTCAGAAATCCACTTCTCTGTACACCAATTCGACGAATTGGACGAATCCCTAGTCTCCTACTCCTTCCAGCCGGCAGCCGCAGCACCCCATCAACGGCACAGGCACCAAACCCTCGCCAATCTCCGTATAATTCGCGCCAAAGTGTTACCGATGAATTTAACCAGGGGAAATCAACCCGGCACCAGAGTCGCCACAGCTTGGCTCAAGAATCGCACGGAGAAAAGACAAAAGGAAAGGTGTTTTAAACAACTGACGAGAAAGGAAAAGAGTCTGACTCTGTGGCGCGGAGCTGGGAGACTGCTCCGCCATCGGAGAACCTCACAGGTCACAGCGCGGATGGACGAACAAGGGAACTCTCGAGTCTCGACCTGAGAGAGACGGAATCGGACGACGACGACGACGACGCGCTAAAGTATGACCGTGCGTACGTCAGGTCAATCTTGTGCGGCCTGTTCGGCTTAGCCCATTTGACTTGTTCATTTTTTTTTTCTCCGGTCGGAAAAATGTTTTTCTCTCACAACAATTCAATCAAAACAGTATTTTTTAAGTCAGTTTCAACCAAGTTTCAGACTAGCGAACGGGACCGATGTGTGTTCATCACATGTCTTTTATCTTCTGGTTTTCTTTCAGGAAAATAAAAATATTCTGGTGCCTACTGCACTTTCCATGTATTTTCTTTCTTTTTTTCAGAAAAGAAAAATAGAAAATGGGGATTCATGCTTTTGATGTTCCAATGCCTTGTACTCTTGTGTTGCCATCTGGATTCTCAACAACCTTGCAACACTAGTATAGGTATTACAACTATGGAGAAAAATAAATTAAACTGTCAATATTTTTATAAATTGTAGGTCATTAGACAAAAATATACATGCCGTTCATAATATTGTATAGTAGTAATAATATATAAATAGGTGTAACAATTTTTTTGTCCGTCTAGACCACATAGAGCTCAACTTAAGTTTACATTTGCCATTTGTATGAGTGGAATCAACAAATGAGTCTAGTAGTGGCCCTTTCTTTTTCTACCTTCATTTCTTCTTCCTCTCTCTTTCTCTCATTTATTCTTTCCTCTTTCTCAAAAAATGGGGAGGCGCTAAGAGGAGAGGCTCCATTGTGGGGCGATCTAACCCCCTGCCCTACTGCTAGATCTGCCTCTGACCATCTCGTTGATCCAAATTCAATAACGTCGTACTTTTATCTTTAACCTCTTATCTTTCCTTATTCATGGGCTACGGCGAAGGAAAACGGCGACGTTGACTAATCTATTTTTTATATCAACATTTGTGATCGTAGAATTCATTAAGTTTGTGAAAGAAGATGAAGTGTGTTTTCCAAGTCTACATAGGGAGGGAAATCAGATCTGTATAAATGTTTACGTATGTGTTGCGCTTGTATAGTAGCATAATGCCTTGAATGAGGAAATATGTGTTGCACTTGTATGGATGGCATAGTGCCCTGAACGAGGCAAAGGTCATGGAACCGTTGGTTAAACAAGGATGAAATAATGGCTTCATCTGACAAAAAGCTCATGCATCAACCGGAGACGCATTGTAGCAAGCTAAGATGCATTCTAGCGAGCCAGGGACTATGAACATGTATGTTCCCACCAGTGAAATAAACCAAGAGAGGGAGAGGAGTAATGTAGCTCTAAAAGTTTGTGCCCATATAGACTGACCTTTATGGCCGAAGCTAACAAGGTAGTGATCTGGGTTGATGAAGCCCTTAGAAGTACAGAGCAAACAAAGGAGACTTTGGGTACAAGGAATTTATCTTGGGATCTAGATGCTAGACTGGATGGTCACGCCTAGGCCTATCCAAAAATCTCTCAGCCAATGGCTCAAGTAACCTTCTTTCAAATTAAATTTCAAACTTAGCAGTAGAAAACCTTATTTGGATATTGTAAATTGTTTTTTGGTAAATTCTATAATGATATTATATTTTCGAACTAGTTGTTGAGATGTTTGTAAGATGTTATTAGTATATTACAAAGTGTTTTTGGTAATTCTATAATGATATCATATATTAGAATGTAATATTAAGGAATTGTATATTAAGTGAGACCACCAAAATGGTACAAACTCTGCTGCTCAAAAGCCCACCCCGAATACCTTTCAAAAAAAAAAGCCCACCCCGAATCCAAATTGAAATCTAAATTCACAGCCCACCGACCTTGTGCTGATTAACAAGTGCATTGTGATACAGTTTGGGAAGATGGGCTCAAAATGATTTTGACCTTTATTTTAATAGAAATTTTATAGTAATTGGAAAAATAATCATTCATTGGGATAAATCCAATGGTTATAAAATAGATAGAACTAATTTAGAGAAACTTAAGTTAAGGACCGGAACATAAAATATGTGAGCTAGCAACTAGTTTTAAGTTTTTTTTTTAGGGGAATAGAACCTTTTATTGACCTTCCTAGGACGTACAAACGCCATCAGACGGAGATACAAACCAAACATGTCTCCCTAAATCAGCATAGATATAACTACTAGCTAAATTATGAGCATCCACATTTGTGGACAAACTCAACAAATCTAAACTCACTTGATCTAGCTCTAATTTCCTGGACAACATGCCCATAAGAGCCCATACTTCCTTCATGAATGCTTGCAACGACTTCGGCGTTGTCACATGCCAATCTGAAGTCCTGCAGGAGCAAATCGCTAGCAAGAGCCTCAATCTGAATCCTTGCATGCTATCGCCTCCATTGTTTCTGGCTAAGCTGCCTTTCCATCACCACTGCTGAGGCCTCCAAGAAACGTCCAGTGCAATCTCGCGCAACAGCTGCAGCATCAACACTTCTTGAGCTCTTGGCCAAGGCAGCATCAACATTGATCTTCATCAGCCCTGATGAGGGAGGAATCCACCGGGTGGAGCTTCTGTGGACTCCAGGTCGGTCCTTAGCTTGTGGTTTCACCGATTGAAGATCAGCCAGAAAACTAGTAACAAAACTATGTGTCGAAAGCGGGCTTTGGTAGGTATCTTCATGAATAGCTTTCCGTCTTGCATACCAAATGGCCCAAAGAGTAACAGTAACCCAAATTAGGTCTTCATGCTTCAAAGATTTCTTCCTTCTCCAGCGCCTTGCATCAACATCCTGAAGCCGAATAATATGCTCAGTTATTTCTTCCTTCTCCAGCGCCCAAACACAGCGCGCCATATTGCACTCAAGGAGTGAGTGCCGCCACGAATCCCCGGCATCGTAGATGGGGCAGGCACTGCTATCGGCCATATTCTCGTGGAGAAGAAGATCCTTCGATGGGAGGGAGCATCTGGCAAGCCTCCACAAGAACACCTGCACTTTGGAAGGGACTTTAACTCCCCACAATGTAGACCACTCCTTCTGAACTCTTGTCTGTCCGAGATTTACGATGTGCAAGCATTCTATATGTCGAACGGACCGAGAAGACACCACGCTTCTCAAAGTGCCAAGCCCAGAAGCCTTGTTGTTGCCTTGTACTAAGTGGGATACTCGATATCAAATTCACATCCGGTGGTGTAAAGAATTTCATTAGCTTCACCCGATCCCAAGTAGCCAAAGTTGAGTCTATGAGCTTACTGACCCGTTGAAGTGGGTTAGGCCGACTGCTCGGCACCGGCCTCCTCAAACCCGACGAAGGCAAGTTAAATTCCAAGAACATAATAGCACTTTCACATCTCAGGATTTTTGGCACGGCCCAACCCACTCAAGCCCACTAACCATAGATGCAGCCAAGATCTGATTCGTATTCGGCGGTGGCCGACGTTTCGAGGGAGGCGGTGATGCCCAAGATCGGCGATGGGAGGAGGCACGCTGCCGAGCCCCCTACCGGCCAAGCACTTGAGCTGTACGCCCCTACAGACGGTCGGTGGAGAGCTCCTGCAAACATCCGTTAGTCATCCCTATACAGTCATGCAGACGTGTGGTGGCGTGACATCCCGGCGGCTGGCACTAGTGAGCCCCCCTGCAGGCGAGAGACTGATCGGTGCCGGCTTTCTGACGTGCAACAGAAAGAGGGAAAGGAGATATCCCACTAAAATGACTAGACTACTCTTAATTACCATTAGTTTATTTTCTCATATCACACGGCTGAAAATAATTACGCCGAGAGAAACCCACCGTTCCTCCCAAGAACGAAAACAAATCTCTTAATTTTCACAATACTAGCACTATTTTGCGAAATCCTTTTGCCTTTTGGAGGGGGCTTTTGTGGTTGAGCCAAAGGCGGACATATTACATTTGCTGATTTGCCTCTTAATATATATACAAACTGTTTTCAGTTCAAGTTCTCCATTTATTGGGTTCCTGACCGCTACCCCATGGGTGACAGCACCACCATGACCTAGGGCGCGGTGAGGAAGACGTTGGAGGCAAGGACGACAACAGTAGAAGCCAAGCATAGGCGGCGGCGGAAAAGGAGAAAGTCCATCCGAACAAACTTAAAAACACTGTGGAAGACTAAAGACTACTACTATTAGAGGAGGTAGGGGGGCCGGCCCACATCCCTCTCGCCTCCGGCGAGGATGTCGGACGGAGGGAGGGGGCCGGAAGCTGGGCAGCGCCGGGACTTCTCGTGAAGGCTTCGAACGGAAGGGAAAACAAACTCGCATCACACGGGTTGGTCACCGGAGGTAGTTGAAGGATGAACCATGCTGGCCATGAGTGGGATTCTAGACTCGAAGAATGAAATAAAAAAATAGAAAATAAATAAAGAAGGAGAATCATGAATCACCGATCCATTCATGTAGCCCCATTATTACGTAGGAAAGTACACTTTCCGACCCTTAACTCGCACCTTTTCAACCTTCAACTATCAAACCGGTTAAGAAACACTCTCCAACTATCAAAACCGGACAAATTTGGCCCTCGGTTGGTTTCAATAGC